CTCTTTGTGGGATAAGTCCTTTTTATATTCCTTGAAAATCTACTAAGATTGAAAATGATTATTCTACTTACTCTTAGCCAATCATAACGGAGTAATTTTCTGTCCTATCTTAAATACAGGAACAAGCTTTCTCTAGTTTGCAAAGCGAAAGTTCTTTTAAATCCTCTTCAATTAGTTATTGTAGGGGCAATGACTAATTCACTACTGGTAATTGATAGCACAGGGCAAGGAAAAGGAAAGCCAGAATAGAGAAATTCCGATTATAACAAACTTTATATCAAAATTGAAATTCTCCTCACAAGTCTGCTTATATTCTATAGCGCACTAGTTGAAATAATTGGACTATCGGTTTCTTTGTTCTTAAGATCGGTAGAACTGCGCTGATTCTCTAAGGAGAAATGAGATGCTGCTCAGGGCTGTCACGACTACATTTGAACACTAATGATTGGCAACCATGAAAGACTAATGAGTGGTTTATATCTTTTTTCAGGCGCATGCGCAAGAGACACAGATCCTTCAGCGTGGAGTGATTTGTTCTTGAAGTGTGAACCCGACCTTATATGAAGTGTGAACACAACGTTATATCTAATGCAAACACAGCGTTACACTTAGTCTACAAAATGACGCAATTTTGATGTATTTTTACTTTTTCCTTAGTACATTTTAGTTTTCGTAGATTGATGTTCGATTAAGAGTTTTAAAATATTTCTTCCATGTAAGAATCAAGAGAGTTAATGTATGCAGCAAGCGTTTTGGACAAGCAAATTAAAGATGCAACCAGTCAACAATTGTGTTATATTCGCGAAAAATTAGTATCGGTTAGTGCCGCCTTGTCAAATACGGGAATTACTGTAATAAACGTGTGGGTTTTTTTAACATGAATTTTCACACGTTTTGTAGTCTTCCACATACGACTGCACACCGCCCAAGAGGTCGAGATGATAACTATTAAATACTTTGACGCCATGGAATACTACCAATACATTTTAGATTGGCTTGGAATAAACCTCAACCCCTCCTTGCAAAAAACACCTGCAACCGCAAATGCAGCGGCAGTCAAAACCACACTGTGCGACCGAAACGGCACGATAAGAGTCCTTTTCTTACTAGCTAACAAAACTCAAGGCAATCCTAAAGTTGATTTGACTTAATGGTCGTAAGAAAGAATGAGCTCACTTAAAGCCCCGGCCAAACGATCGCAACATTTCAACGCAACGCATTACGACATTGTTGGGCGCAACATTTTGCGCGCGTTTGGCCACCCTGCTGCGACGTGTTGCGACATGTTGGGTGTTGTTGGCTCGAATTTGAAAAATGGTCAAATTTTTCAAGCAACATTTGAGGATGTTGCATGATGTTTTAGTCGTTTAGCCAGGTTCGGGCGAAAATGTTGCGTCAGGGCAAGCGCACTAGTTCGATTTTCAATACTCATTATGCCGCAAAACGTAGCAATACGTTGCAACAGGGTGGCCAAACGAGCGCAACATGTTACGCCCAGCAGTGTTGCGTTCAAATGTTGCGATCGTTTGGCCGGAACTTGCAAATGCTGGACCAACAATGTTGCGATATGTTGTACTAAAATGTTGCGATTGTTTGGCCGGGGCTTAAGACCATTTTTTCATCGCTTGAATATAAAAACGTCCGGTTTGACCTCTTCTAGTTTTAAATTTAACTAGGAATAAGATATTTTGTTAAGATTGAGACAACTCCAAGCGACACTTACTTGCTGAGCACGACGCACGAGACCCTGTTTTTGCACCAAAATCAAAGCTGTGAGGCCCAAAATATTTCGTATTTTTCATTTCGTGCAATGTTATGATTTCTGCATGCATTTTAAATCCCCAGTCGTGAATCTTCAATGCGGTAGGAGTGAGAAAAGTGCCCAAACGCCATTGCTTTTCCTATACTTGTCTCCTATTTTTAGACATTTTTTTTGGACACGTTGATCATTATTCTTGCTCTTGTCATATCAACGCGTTGCAAGGAAATAAACTAACTTTACCCACGTCAACTTTAAGAAAATGTCTTTAATTTGCAGCAAAATTTAAATCACTTTAAGCAATGAGTTGAGACGAATACTCTGTTTGGAAGAGCCTGAGCAAATTATTTACTCCGTTAACTTGTTAGGTTTCTGGAAAGTTGGTGGAAAATAAAGGCTATTCAGGGAAAACAGCAATCAATTTTGTGATTATAGTGAATTGTGATGAGCGTAATCAACTGAATTATTCTGTCGTTTGTAATGTAAAGATTTTGATAGATCGCTGGATGTCCGTAATAGTAATTTCTTCAAATCGCAATCTAGTCTTGGCACACTGCGTTTTTGATCTAAAACGCCCGCCTAAACACACGAAACATTTCAACGAATGATTGTAACATTGTTGCGCACAGCATATTGCACTTGGCCACCAGTTGCACCATCCAACATCTTGCAACAGGCTGGCCAAACGTGTGCAACATGTTGAACGTAAAATTGTTGTAATATGTTGCGTTAAAACGTTGCGTGTGTTTAGCCGGACCTTAATCGACGGCAAAGCAACCTTCTGTTATTCTATAGACCTCTTTCCAGCGTTTGATTCGCATCGACAATTTCTAATACCACTCACTGAGCCAGACAGGCAAACAATATCAACTGTGAATAGGTTTTCACCTGTTTTGTGCGTTCGTTCACTTACTTTAACTTTTTTCTTTTTCTCCTTTTACCGTAAAAGAAACTAATCGTGTCGTTGGAAATTTGGCGGCTCTCCTTACTTGTAAACACAAACCATCCCACGCTTATGCAACCAGCGGTAAGGAATTTCATTCAGCTTTTCCACTCACCTAAGTTTCAGACTCTGAGGTGCCCGCTATCCTGAAGAAATTTGTCTCGAAAGAAGCGACTTCGGAGGCCGCCATTTTGAAACTGTCTTGGCAGCCAGACCGTGTTTATGTGACGTCATTCCGTCCTATTCGAACTTGGCGGGAAGTAGAAAAACCTGCAACTGACTTGGCATCCTTCACAAGCTCAGCAAAATCTACTTTTTCGGAGCGATTATCCACTTCACTTTCTTCAATGCTATCATTTCGGCGTTTGGCTCAAAATAATATGGCTCTAGAGCAGCCATAACCCAGAGTGGTAGTTGAAAGGCTTGTCGGAAGCCATTTGGGTAAAATCTCTCGGATGGAATGACGTCACGAAAACGCGGCCGGGTTGCTGAGTACTTTTCAAAGTGGCGGCAATAATGTTCGAATTTTGGGCTTCTTTGGAGACGAATTTCATAGGGAAAACCTGCACTTTAGAGGCTGAAACTTCGGTGAATGGCTAAACTTAGTGCAAGGTTTTTATTAGCGTTGACAAAAAATATACGTTTTGTGGGTGACCTTCTTCTTTAAATAGTGCTATTGCTACACAAATTCCGAGGCCAGTGAAAGACCTATTGAAATGCTCTAAGAAAACTAGATGCACCAAGAAAACGCTTGCCTATATTCGTCCAGAGGATTACGCGCGTCTAAAATATCAACATAACCAAGCAGACTTCAAACTCTGTTCGTGTATTTAATATTTTATTCAGCAATAAAACCTGTTCTTTTTTTTTCCTCACCTTATCCTAATGACCTGTTCTTAAGGCACGTAAGAAACTTTGGCCGATTTTATTATAGTCGAACCTTCCGTAAGGGACCATCCAAAATGTCAAGCCTAGGTGGTCACTCATGGGAGGTGGTCTCTTACGAGAGCTTAGAAAATATTGAGTCAAAATTTTGCTTCATTAGCATATGGTAACTGCAGAGACTTACCCCATGACTGAAATGTTTTATTCATGTGAAAAGTCAATTTCTAGAGAAAATCCTGTACTTCACATTGAGAAATTTCCGTCTCTTGTACTACTTATCTAATTTCTGCTCTATTATCTGTCAAGTGGTCGCTTACGGGAGGTGAAAAACAAAAGAAAATTTCAAACTTTTGGCTCTAAAATTGGTCGCGGTCGCTTTCAAGAGGTTCCAAATATAGTGATTGGCTGGGAAACGTTTGGTATTTTGGAAAACTGGTCGCTGAGGAGAGGTGGTTACTTACGAGAGGTGGTAGCAACCGGAGGTTCGGCTGTAATGTATTTGTGAAAGAACAAGACGTAGAGAATATCCCCGAGGAATAATCATAAATTGGCGCCTTACATTCTACAAAACGTAAACCTTTCTTCGAAATTCAAGAACACTCTGTTTCAGGGATTCTGACCCAAAAAGGATATTTCTTAGGAAATCACTGAACCCAACTAATCAACCACTGATAACTACTCAAAATTGGGGACTAATTACGTTCCAAACTGTCACTAAGATCGTTCTATTCTTAGCTTAAACCAACATTATCATCAGAAGAGAAAAGGGAAAAGATTCTAGAAGTCGCCTTCTTTTGCACATCCAACGACGTCTCTAGTGATTCTTGACCCGAAACGAAGATTTCTTAACAAATCACTGAACCCAACTAGCCTCCTGACGAGGACAAATTCCTTTCGTTTAATTAGTGCTACTGCTATACAAATTCAGTGCCATATATATTGTGCTAACTAAATCGACCCTCTGTCAGTCTGCTTGTGAATTCACTGTTACTTTGAGACCGCCTGATCACTAGAGGTAAGTTTCGAAGTTAACTTCAGCTTTGCTTGTTTTCATTATTAGATAGACCGGTTTTATCGAGAGTAACAGATCTCACGCCGGTGAAGACTGGGTTTTCTGTTCTACGATTTCGTGAATTATCCAAAATAACACAATTTGTTTACCGATACAACGCACAAGTTTCTTTGGAGCCCTCTGGCAAATGACTGTGACAAACCACGCCACATTTTATTCTGTTCAATTCAAAATTGTCTGCTCCGGGTCGCGGTGAGACTACTCGCTCAACAATTCCAAAACGCGTATAAAATCACCTACGGAACCAATCGCTTTAAATCCGCTTGACTAATCCAAACTCGTAATCCCCAACAAAGAACATTATTTCCTATAACGCTTATAGCAACCCCTCCCTCCTCCCCCCACCCCCCTCCACACCCATATATAAGCTCGTCCCAAAAACCATAAGTAATTGTGGCTTAAACCTGGCATTTTACGGTATCAAAAACGGCCCGGCAATAAAACTTCCAACTCTTTACGTGTATTCAATATTACTTCAACTATAAGAGGTATTTCTGTCTTCTCTTTCATCGTAATCGACCTGCTCTTGAGGCACGTTAGGAATAATGACTAGTTTTATTCGTTTATTTACGAGATATGCCTTCGATGTACGGAATACCTTCAAGGGACGATGATAATCAGAAATTGGCGCATTAGGATAGAGAACACTTTACAATTCGCCTTCCTTACGCAAGGTTACAAACCTTTCACTGATTTATGATCCGAGACGGACATTCGTTTTGAAAATGACTGAACCCAACCAACCAGACAACCAAAAAAACAACACTAATAGCTATTCAAATCTGAGAGCTGTTGAACATTGGTCTCGCTATTTTTGGAGGTGGGGTTATGTGTGGCGCCGTGGTGGGCTCGCTACTTTCGGGGGATCCAAGGGGAGTCGTTACTTTCGGAATTTTGCGGTATTAGAATACAGCAGTACATCTTTTGCAATGACTGCTAGGATTGTATTTGAAATTCTCACAGTTTTTGGCAGAAAGAAGTAGTCTCTAGTTAAGATTTATCATTCTAAAGTCACACTTCGTTAAAGTTGAAGTTCTCGCGAGACTGGAAAAAACATAAACACGTAATGCGCGCGCTTTGCGAAAACTAGTAATTTATGCTGATTTAGGCTTATCATAAATCAGGCGGGCAAAGCAGAATAGATGTAATTGATAAATAACTGCGCGCTAAATAGGACCAGCGACTCAACGTGTTGGAATATAGAACTTCTTTGCTCTGTGAAAGGGCTATCGCTCACAACGTCGGCTTTTAATTCGCTATGGAGGTTAATTTACCTTCATCAACTCAAAACTTGCTTGTTAACTGAAAAAAGTCACAGCAACTGTTTAAAATCCTATTGTCTGATCATTCCTTGGGAGATTATATTTTCCTTTTGTGTTACGTCCGTGATGCACGCGCTCTGCGAAAATCAGAAACTGTTTTCAACAGTACATCTTCTGATGTAATTTTTCTCAAGATGGCACGTTAAAATTTTCTACCTTACAAGTTTTCAATTCTAATTTTCTTTTGAATTTTTATATCCATTAAGTGTCGCGCATCAACCGGGGAGAACATTTTATTTCGTTTTGTTCATCTTGAACATTCATCTTCTGAACTGATTGTTAGAAACATCGAGTTGATAAACAACTAAGTGATCCTTGCTCGTCGACTCAAAAAGTCATAGCTACTTGTTAAAATCCGTTTGTTTGATCATTCCTTCGGAGATTCATTCTGTTACGCTCGAGATGCGCTAACGTGATGCAAACACATCATAATATCAGCGCTTAAACTGGTAATTTATGCTGCTCTAAAATTATCACTATTTCTCTTGGTGCACAGCGCAGAATGGCTGGAAATGATAAGTGATAAATACTCAAATTACAAAAGAAAAATAATAAACTGGTTCACTGACTTCAAAATCATACTAATTTGCTCCACACATAAAAGCCATGGTCGAATGTCAAAACGCAGTAGAACTTCAAAGGGGCTTGAGGTGCGTTATAGAAGTTTGCGGTGCTGCCATTTTGTGGTTGAAAATCTTGCACGGTAAGTAAAACTTTTCAATTTTGTCCACCACACCAAGCCAAACGGCATTGAAGTCAGAGCAAGTGCTAAACTGAAATTTCTTCTTTGTCGACTTTGTTGGGATCGCAGAATATTATTGTTATCAGTGTCCACCACCGTGAATGTGCCGCAGAAGCATAAAGTTTCTCGTAAGAGTTGAAAAACTGAGGAGCCTTTTACTTTTAGCTTTTCATGTCGCGAGTTCATGATTCTTTCGGAGAAGAAAGCGCAAATTATTTGCGACAAGCTTGTGTGTGTCGGACCAAACGTAATAAAGATTTTTCGTGGCGCCAAAACTGCGCTTTTTGAGACTCATTAATTTGGTGTGTTAATTAAGCAAATGATCTTGTTGGGCAGCTTCAAGACAATAAAACAAATAAGAAAGATTCGACTCGTTACTTCGTATACTAATGCAAATGCTGCGATCTGATTGGCTGAGCTAATCGTACATCGGTGTGCAGTGGTTGTAGGTCTACAAAATGGCAACGTTTTCTCGTTTTCCCGAAGTTTCGAAGGAACAGTTAGGAACAAATGATTGATTAGATTGAAAAAGAAGGACAATCACGAGTTGCTGTCGTTAAAATCTCGAAATCGTTTAAAAACTGAGGCTCACGCACAAAACTGCAAATTTAAACGATTCAGTCCGCGCTATTTTTCGTCAACTAGAAATTTCTCGATTTCTAGGAAATGATAGTTGATTCGGTCTTTGGTTTCATCACCTAACACCTCATAAAATCTCGAGTTCAAATTCTAGTTCTTAAAGCGAAGATAATAACTTCATTATAATTACTAGGATGAATGAGCCTTTTCACAGACTGAATAAACCTTTCTCGCACAGCGAGATACGCACTAGATTCTTGAGACGCATAAATAAACCTTCATTGACTGAACTATAGGCTTTTTGCGATATGTTGTACTAAAATGTTGCGATCGTTTGGCCGGGGCTTAAGACCATTTTTTCATCGCTTGAATATAAAAACGTCCGGTTTGACCTCTTCTAGTTTTAAATTTAACTAGGAATAAGATATTTTGTTAAGATTGAGACAACTCCAAGCGACACTTACTTGCTGAGCACGACGCACGAGACCCTGTTTTTGCACCAAAATCAAAGCTGTGAGGCCCAAAATATTTCGTATTTTTCATTTCGTGCAATGTTATGATTTCTGCATGCATTTTAAATCCCCAGTCGTGAATCTTCAATGCGGTAGGAGTGAGAAAAGTGCCCAAACGCCATTGCTTTTCCTATACTTGTCTCCTATTTTTAGACATTTTTTTTGGACATGTTGATCATTATTCTTGCTCTTGTCATATCAACGCGTTGCAAGGAAATAAACTAACTTTACCCACGTCAACTTTAAGAAAATGTCTTTAATTTGCAGCAAAATTTAAATCACTTTAAGCAATGAGTTGAGACGAATACTCTGTTTGGAAGAGCCTGAGCAAATTATTTACTCCGTTAACTTGTTAGGTTTCTGGAAAGTTGGTGGAAAATAAAGGCTATTCAGGGAAAACAGCAATCAATTTTGTGATTATAGTGAATTGTGATGAGCGTAATCAACTGAATTATTCTGTCGTTTGTAATGTAAAGATTTTGATAGATCGCTGGATGTCCGTAATAGTAATTTCTTCAAATCGCAATCTAGTCTTGGCACACTGCGTTTTTGATCTAAAACGCCCGCCTAAACACACGAAACATTTCAACGAATGATTGTAACATTGTTGCGCACAGCATATTGCACTTGGCCACCAGTTGCACCATCCAACATCTTGCAACAGGCTGGCCAAACGTGTGCAACATGTTGAACGTAAAATTGTTGTAATATGTTGCGTTAAAACGTTGCGTGTGTTTAGCCGGACCTTAATCGACG